TTCGTTTTGTCATTGAGATGTTAGGTTGAATTAGTTAAGATTGTTGTCGAATCCCTACGAAATAATAAGTCTTAAAATGCCTTTTTAGAGTGTGATAGAAGAACTGCCATTTTTAATCTAGCATTGAAAGTAAATTCAAGAATCAAGAAAGTTGAACCTCTGTCTCTCTTTAAAAGTATGTCTTAGTTAATATAGACTCAAGAAGACCTTGAAGACTCCATAGAGACTGTTTAATTGAGAGTTGTGCTTCCAAAAGATGTTGAAAATTCAAGAACATCGTGCGAATCGAAGGAAAAATTTTGTCCTAGTAATCAGTTTGCCTGACTTTTCCTGCTAAATGCATCAGGAAATGATTAACGTATAACACCTAAGTACTTTAAAAGTGTTTTTCTCTCTGTTTAATTGCTTCAAACATTTGCAATGATATTCCGAGACTTCTTCTTTTTTTTTTATTTTTTAACCCATCCATGCTGGGCAAGGAATCATGCACTGCAACTAATGCCCACACTGTAGAAAATACAGTGTACTTGCAGTTCATATTCTTGCAGTCTGCATTCTTAGTTTGACATGTGGAAATTGGAGCAGAAAATGCAAACGTATAGTGCAAAATGAGAATTTGCAAGCGAAATTTTTACTTCTTTGTATCGCTAGAAGTAAAAAGAACTGTAGGGTGTGATAATGTAAGCTGAACTTAAAGAATTATTTTTTTTTCTTTTTTAATTGGCACGTCGATTTCTTGAACCAATTTATCCTAGGTCTCCCTTTTTTTCTTAAATAAGAAATAGCATTCAAGCCAAGTTATGCATTGGAATGCATAGAATCCATGACCCGATAAAACTAACATGACAATCCTTGAAATGGAAAAATTCTAGACAAACGCATCTGAATGGCGATGAGCAGGCTTTACAATGCTGCTATAACAGTGTACATTTAAGGAATAGAGAAGTCTTCACCGTTTTCAAGACGTCTCAGTAGCCCCTCCAAATATCTGATCTTAGGTAGCTAGTAGTCTTCTGCTCATGGTCCATGTTAAACTCTTCCGTGCAATATTTTTTGGTACAAATAACCAAAGATCTCATGTGAATTTTTATTGTTAGCAGGTCGAAGATGACTCAACAATAGCACCAGAGGCAACAGAAGCTGGGTACCAGTTTGATCCTAGTTTAAATATACCAAATGAAGGATTTAAATTTTAAAGTAGAAAGATCACAGGCAAGTTTTATTTTCGTATAATTTAATCATCAGTCTCCACTTTCTCAACTCAAAATTACATCTCAAAGAGTTTTTAGCTTTGCTCACACTTCTTACAAAAGTGTTTCCTTCGATTGTGAAGTTCTACGACTGGTTCTTTTGAATATAGAGAAACGCTTTCTCCTACCATACTGATGTAATAAGTGTAAAGTCTTACCCCTTTCATGTTTTCTTCCACTTTAAAAATAATTTGTAGGTTGTAAAAACGACACTGTTAAACAATATAGTTCACAATGCAAGGCTTCTAACTGAACCTTAATTCTTTC